AAAAAGACGGTGTTGGAGTATTACGACAAATCTTTGGACGAGCTACAAGCTATGGACGCACCAGAAGCGAACAACACCGTAGAAAACAGCAGCGTGGTTACCGTGAACGCGAGCGTATTTTGCGGACGCCAGGGCGGTTGCAAGAGCTGCACGTCACACGAGTTTTGTTTTTGGTGCGAGTCGAAAAAAACATGCGAGGTCCTTTACAACGCGTCAACAACGCACCACTTTTGCCACAAAAAGGGAACAGCATACAAGGGTCAATGCATTTACTCAAGTAAGTAGAAATTTTACATATCTCCCAGCTAGTCATTAGATAACTTTCCTGTTACACATGGCTGGGTAACTTCTAAAGGAATTCCTCGCCCTATATTTGCTCAGAGTGTTGGGCTGTTTTTAAGTAAGCGACACCGTGTTTGGTATTCCAAGGGAAAATAACTCAGTAGTAGATTTTTCAACTATTAGAAGGCTAAGGTTTTATAATCAATTGTACAGAAATTCGACTGATCTGCTCTCCGCTACTTTAATTTACGCATCACAGGTTTCTGAAGCGATTGGAACCAAAATATGTAAAAGCGGGGAGAGCTTTTTGTTTTCGTCAAACCATGGCAGAAGTCTTGCGCACGTATAACTCTATCACCGATTTCGCACCGCTAAAAGTGCTAAAAAAGGGCAAGGTACTGCGATTCTGGACAACTTTTGTGAGAGAGCTGATAGAGAACTCGCGCCAACGAAACCTTACAAGTTGACAGGAGGCAGCAAAATACGCATAGTTTAAAAAGTTAAGTAGCGTAGTATTGAGCGCCAGAGGGGGAAAGCGAATGTGTTTTTCGCCAAATTACAAAAAATTTCTTTCAAACCTTCGCCGATGCCATTTTGTAGTTTAAACTTTGGGTGAGAAGGGGGAAGAACCGTACAACGGTTAATAGCAAAATAGCAAAAATCTTGGCCTATTTTTAGTGATGAATTTTTTATAAGAATGGTATGCAATATAGTCTCCTAGCGCATTTAAATATCTGAACGTAGGTGTAAGAAATTTTGAGAATATATTGAAACAAGGGTCAATATTTTCCTACCGCGTAAAGAAAGATGTATTTCCCGATAAAAGATCAAAATATTTCTGAGAATTTTTGTACAGACGTTTTCATAATCGAGAGTTTTATTCACATGCAAATATTCAGATCTTGTCAAAATTGTTCAAAAGAACAAAGATCACTCATGTGCAATGTGTTTTTAATAGTCCGTTACTGTAACTTGAAGGATCTCTCAGCGCAAGTTCGATTCATTCAGGCCCGGCATTTACAATCATTGCGCACCCTCTACAGAGACCCCAGTAAAAATAAACGAACTTCAATAACGGACAAATTAATTTGGCGCTTTAAACTGACCGTCAACTGTAATTACCTTTTAACATCTCCCATGGGGACACCACAGGAGAAAAGCATTTAATCCGACACGACCATAATCAAAACAGAAATAAAAATTTATACTGATTTATACTGCAAACTCTTCTTCTCTGCTAAATATATCAAGCTTCGAATTTATGAATGTTGCTCTGGCAACGCGTTGAACCTTTCCGAAACTTGTGGGCAGAATTTTACCAAAATCTTACCAACGGAAAGACACAAGTCTTAACAGCTATTAGCAGAGCATGCACTATGATAAGTAAACAAATTCCACCTTTTGTTTTCACTCTTTTCCACCCTAAAATATTAATTGTCCTGTTTTGATGGTGATCGGATATTTAATATTGCTTCGTCTGTCTCAAACATTTAGCTGTATTTGCTAGTGCATTCCGACCGACAAATAATATTTTTCCAAACGTTTGCTTGAGAGCCAGTTTGCCTGTTTGAGCAATTTTTTGGGGGGTGGAGAGGGGGATGGGGTGAATATATGTCCCATATCGTGTAAATTGAAAGGTTCTAATCACAAAGACAAACAACTTATGGCAATTTGAAAGCAAAAGCATCAAAAGTCTTCTGAGGAAGTTTTAAGCTGGAAGCGGTTGCAGTCTTTTATTTCTTCATTATGACTTCACCAAAATTATAACCAATGACTGATATAAAAGAAGGATAAAATGAGTGATATGGGAAAAAAAAAANCTGGGTACGAGGTTGAATAAACCCTACCCTCCCTCAAAATTCCAATAGTCCACACCTAAGATATTTGAGTTTGATAAGCCATTGTGTCAAATGATTGGCAGTGTCAAATATTATGAAATGGCTTGCGATAAAGAAAAACCGCTGCGTTGCTAGCTCATCAACATATGTGTTCAAACGTGCTTAGAAGAAAAAACAGTTACAAGTTTAACACTAAAAAGGTCAAACTAAAACGTATAAAACAGCACAGGTTTATTTACTAATTTTATTTTTCTAATGGTTATTAACAGAATATAAACAGTATCTTATTCTATGCAGTACCTCTATCCTGGTCGAACTGGAATTTGGAGACTTGATACGACAGTATTCTGATTGGCTTATTCGAATTTTGGTACGCCTGAAAGCTTATTTCAGTAGTCACAATCCTCACAATAGAACACGGCCTCACACTAAACCTATTTTTATCATCGGTTTTCCTCGTTCTTTTGTCATTTTGTTCTCTATGGCCTTACGTCAGTTGTGTCTTCTACACTAAATAAGAGCCAAATTTATTGACTCTTCCTTTAGGGCCTCAACAGACTACATAACTTGCAAAAAAATTTTGACGATTTTAATTTCGGACAAAAAAAAAGTGTCCGTAAAATAAAACCGTCCGAAATTGTTAAGCATCCGAACTATTTACAGTACAGTATAAAACTTTTAAGTAGCCCTGAAAGCTATTAGTTTCCTTTACAATATCCCGGCTTTATGGAGCGTACGCTAGTCGAGACACTGCTTGACATACCGTAACGGCTCGATAAAATTTGTGTTATTTTCTCGTCGGTGTATTCTTAAACTTTTGAGAGTTCAATAAAACTATCATTTTTTGAAGTTATTTCAGTCAAATTCATGTTTTGTAGGCGTAAATTTACTTTAGTTATGTTTCAACAAAGTGTCCGAAATTGTTGTCCGAAATTTGTCCGAAATAAGATAAAAAGTGTCCGAAAATTAAATTTTTTTTGCAAGTAATGTAATAAAGTTGTATCAGAAAATAAACTGGGTATTTAGTATTAGTTATAAAAAAAAAATTAGAATTGTCGACAACAAGGAAGTCTTAAAAAAACATGGGAAACAGTTTTGATGTCGACAACAGACAAGTCAATTTTGGCACCATTAAAAGTTTCGTGACATGACCGAGACAATTACTTCATTTTGATTGGTTGAGAACAGGCCATTTAGCGTTAATTTTTAATTCGCAGTGCAAATTAATTAACGCGCGCGCTTTCGTAGCCTTCTCAGTTATAATAAAGGAGTAATCATATGAAACCTCGAGCAAGTAAAGTTTAATTCTTTTTGTTAAATTGCACTCGGCTATTGCAATTTTGAGAGAATTTTCAAATATCACTCGCATTCATACGATTACCTTTACTTGTACATCAATCTGTGAAGCAGTAATCGACAGCGTCATATTATTTTTCTTGTCAGCGGTATCTTTTCGTACACATAAACATGCGCAAAGAACGCTGGTTACCATTTACGACCTCCGTTGTGTGTTCAAATGTATTGTCGACTCATTCGAATTGATGTATTGCGACAAATTATATCTTTAGTCCTGGTAGGGCCCGACTGAATGAGTGAAAGTGACGTCACTGATGTTAATATTAGTAACCGTATTTCAAGCATAACACACCAAAAATTAATTATGCTCCTCTTACAACAAATTAACGACCGTCGTAGCTTCATCATTAATTATTTGAACACAGCAGAACACCCGGACGGCCGCATACTTTCGTAAAGAACACAGAATCACTTAGTGACCACATTACGCGTCAGTCAACTTCCATTTAATAACAAACTTATATCTCAATTGTAAATTTTATAAAGCGAAGGCCAAAAAAATAATGTTAAAATAAAATCATGCTTTGGTCAGTTTGCGCCAGAGTGCAGGTTAGAATATTTAGCAATTATTCGCCGAAGGCGAAGTGAACACTGGTGAATATTTACATGATATACTGGGATGAAGGTTCAGTTCGCCTTCGGCGAAAAATTCACTGTTAGATAAATATCCTTTTGTATTCTGGTTCGTTACAAAATGGTCAAAAAATATTTTATTTATTTTAGTTCAATTTGAAATTAGTGTATGAACAATCCCTGATCACGCCCCAGTTATATGGCAATAAAACCTTGAAGATTAAGAAAATTATCAGCAGTATCTTGAAGTTTCTTTAATTGTATTAAATCGAATTAACCTAATATATGCATGGTAGTCGAAAAGAGAAAATTCGTATAAGCTGAAGATGTCAAAAAATATCAAAGATTCAACCTCAGAGCTGATAACTAGCAATCGAAGTGTATAAGGTTCCCTAGTCTTGTTCTCGCAGGTTGCGTCGGAAAAAAATAGTGGACAGGAAACGGAACCGGGCAATTTCGCCTACTGAGTGTAAGCATAAATTATTCATATGCTTTGTAGTTCGTTTGAAACAGAGATATATTTTTGTGTTTCTATGACTCGCTGACGTCTCCTATGTCCTTCCTTCAGCTAGTAGGCATGTACTAAAAGACTTGCAACCAGAGTAAGTTTCTCTTGTTCTTGTTGGCACAGGAAACGGAACAGAGCAGAAAATATCTTTATCTGATCATGCATAATTATTCAAATATATTTTCAAGTCCGTCTGAAATAGAAACATATTTTGTCCCTATATCACTCGCAACTTACACTGAAAAAAATTCTATCGGTTCTAAAGTAACGTGAGCTAGTCAACAAACATCTGGATATCTTAAAACAAGTCGTATATTTGTCACCGTCTGCTGATAAAACCTTAAATATGTGCAAACTAATTTAGTTCGATTATAAAATTTTTAAACAAAGAGAAATATTCCGTGCGAACATATTAAGAACAAGTTCAGAAAACAAGCTCAACAGAAGGTGAAAGAGGCATCAAATCATTGGCGAATCGTTGGAAAACGTTTTTGACTTTGGGAGGAGAGTGGTGTGCAGTTAAAAAAAAAGACCGATTCAGTGTTATCATAAATTATCATATAAATCATGAACTTTGTCGTTCAGGTGTGAATTATGTCGTTGAAAATGCGCGCTTCCTTGAGTTCGATAATTCAGTCGATGAAAGGTATAAAACAGGGCCAAAAGACTTATTTTTTGGAAAGGTATCGATAAAGTATCGATTGGAAAAGACTAGAATTGCATTTATTTCGATAAGAATAGTTTATAAGTTGTAGTGTCACGCTGCGAGTAACAAAACTGTTATTATCGAAAATCAGCCATGCATCCAGTTTAACAAAGATTGTCACTCAGTGAAGTCACTTATGCAAATATAAGAAAAGAGCCTTTGATCTATTGAATTACTTAGTGCTAAATCATTAGTAATACAGTGGAAATTGCGCCTTCTGGTTTTGTCAACTGTTTTAGGCGGTGAAACTCTAAACATTGTCGTATCAGGTGGAAAACACGGCGAACATATGGCTCGCCTAAACTGACAACTTCAGCTGAAGAAAAGAGCAAAGGAAAAGCTTATGTGAAGAAGTATATTTTTCACTTCCCGCCAATACTGTTGATAATGAGAGGGGTGCAAATCACTATACTTCTTGTGGCAGTTCAAACTTTCTATTGCTATGAACACAAATGGAAAGAAGAGGGCTACGTCAAAAACTATTTTGACGCTCAAGAATGCGCGCAAGTTGAACCAAACTGCGAGGAGTGCGTGTCCAGAGGAGGGAGTTGTGAGTGGTGTAGCGATGGTTCACACAGAAGCGAGTGCATTAAACAAAGAAGCGAGAACTGCCCGCGTCAACACCGAACGACAACTTGCGTAAATTCTCAAACGACTGAAGACGAGAGAAAAAAGACGGTGTTGGAGTATTACGACAAATCTTTGGACGAGCTACAAGCTATGGACGCACCAGAAGCGAACAACACCGTAGAAAACAGCAGCGTGGTTACCGTGAACGCGAGCGTATTTTGCGGACGCCAGGGCGGTTGCAAGAGCTGCACGTCACACGAGTTTTGTTTTTGGTGCGAGTCGAAAAAAACATGCGAGGTCCTTTACAACGCGTCAACAACGCACCACTTTTGCCACAAAAAGGGAACAGCATACAAGGGTCAATGCATTTACTCAAGTAAGTAGAAATTTTACATATCTCCCAGCTAGTCATTAGATAACTTTCCTGTTACACATGGCTGGGTAACTTCTAAAGGAATTCCTCGCCCTATATTTGCTCAGAGTGTTGGGCTGTTTTTAAGTAAGCGACACCGTGTTTGGTATTCCAAGGGAAAATAACTCAGTAGTAGATTTTTCAACTATTAGAAGGCTAAGGTTTTATAATCAATTGTACAGAAATTCGACTGATCTGCTCTCCGCTACTTTAATTTACGCATCACAGGTTTCTGAAGCGATTGGAACCAAAATATGTAAAAGCGGGGAGAGCTTTTTGTTTTCGTCAAACCATGGCAGAAGTCTTGCGCACGTATAACTCTATCACCGATTTCGCACCGCTAAAAGTGCTAAAAAAGGGCAAGGTACTGCGATTCTGGACAACTTTTGTGAGAGAGCTGATAGAGAACTCGCGCCAACGAAACCTTACAAGTTGACAGGAGGCAGCAAAATACGCATAGTTTAAAAAGTTAAGTAGCGTAGTATTGAGCGCCAGAGGGGGAAAGCGAATGTGTTTTTCGCCAAATTACAAAAAATTTCTTTCAAACCTTCGCCGATGCCATTTTGTAGTTTAAACTTTGGGTGAGAAGGGGGAAGAACCGTACAACGGTTAATAGCAAAATAGCAAAAATCTTGGCCTATTTTTAGTGATGAATTTTTTATAAGAATGGTATGCAATATAGTCTCCTAGCGCATTTAAATATCTGAACGTAGGTGTAAGAAATTTTGAGAATATATTGAAACAAGGGTCAATATTTTCCTACCGCGTAAAGAAAGATGTATTTCCCGATAAAAGATCAAAATATTTCTGAGAATTTTTGTACAGACGTTTTCATAATCGAGAGTTTTATTCACATGCAAATATTCAGATCTTGTCAAAATTGTTCAAAAGAACAAAGATCACTCATGTGCAATGTGTTTTTAATAGTCCGTTACTGTAACTTGAAGGATCTCTCAGCGCAAGTTCGATTCATTCAGGCCCGGCATTTACAATCATTGCGCACCCTCTACAGAGACCCCAGTAAAAATAAACGAACTTCAATAACGGACAAATTAATTTGGCGCTTTAAACTGACCGTCAACTGTAATTACCTTTTAACATCTCCCATGGGGACACCACAGGAGAAAAGCATTTAATCCGACACGACCATAATCAAAACAGAAATAAAAATTTATACTGATTTATACTGCAAACTCTTCTTCTCTGCTAAATATATCAAGCTTCGAATTTATGAATGTTGCTCTGGCAACGCGTTGAACCTTTCCGAAACTTGTGGGCAGAATTTTACCAAAATCTTACCAACGGAAAGACACAAGTCTTAACAGCTATTAGCAGAGCATGCACTATGATAAGTAAACAAATTCCTCCTTTTGTTTTCACTCTTTTCCACCCTAAAATAATTGTCCTGTTTTGATGGTGATCGGATATTTGATATTGCTTCGTCTATCTCAAACATTTAGCTATATTTGCTAATGTATTCCGACCGACAAATAATATTTTCCCAAACGTTTGCTTGAGAGCCAGTTTGCCTGTTTGAACAATTTTTTTTTCGGGGAGAGGGGGATGGGGTTTAATCTTGAATATATGTACCATATCGTGTAAATTGAAAGGTTCTAATCACAAAGACAAACAACGTATGGCAATTTGAAAGCAAAAGCGCCAAAACTCTTCTGTGAGGAAGTTTTAAGCTGGAAGCGGTTGCAGTCTTTTATTTCTGCATTATAACTTTACCAAAATTATAACCAATGACTGATATAAAAGAAGGATAAAATGAGTGATATGGGAGAAAAAAAATGTGAAATACGTGATGCAAAACTGGCAGAATGTTTTGCTTATCACTTACCCAGGTTTGAGTTTTACTTTCCTTAAAAAAACGCTTGCTCAAGACCGCTCTATCTGAAAAGTAAAAGATAGGATAAAGCAGCAGATAAAATGAATGATACAGACGGGAGTCAAGCGCGATTTTGGTTCTTGGTAATTGCGCTGAAGAACTGTCGCCCTTAGGAACGACTTTGAACGGAGTAGAAAAAATTCTTGTCCCTAGAGACCAGAATGCTTTGGGATGATTAAAAGGGTCGAGGGGCCAGACTAAAAGTAGTCCTTCTTTCGCTTAGTCTGTCGTGCGTGACGCGAAAAACAACAAAGAGGAAATTTTTTGCTCGCGGTTTATTTACGGTCTCGCTCGACGGACTAGGCGAAAGATCGACCACTCATAGTTTATTTTAGAGCTAGAGGGCACGGAAGAGGTAACAAAACAAAACTTTGGCCTCGAGCAAGAAAGTCAAAAATTTGCAAGTCAGTGCATTGCAGGTTTTGGCGATAAAATCACTTTTTAAAAAAATGATATGGAATGGTGTTTTTTTAACTGTTTTTCCTGAATGTTCTTTTGCAGTTGGTGTAACTCCCTGCCCTGAAAGAAAACGATCCTGTAAAAAATGTCTACAGGGGGATAACCTGTGTTACTGGTGTTCCTCAACGGAGAAATGTGCGCTGTACCCGTCGGAAAATTTCGAACCAGAAGATTGCGCCAAGGGCAGGTGGTACTACAAGGAATGTCCGGTAGTGAAAGATCTGCTGTGGGTTCTCTTCCCGATTTTAGCCATCATTCTTATACCCATCATTGTGTATTTGATAATCTGGTTAATATGTTGCTGTATGCGAGCAGCGGGTTACGAGCCCCTGGAACCAACGGAACCATCCAAGAAGAAACGCCCCAAGGGTATCCGATTGAAACCCGGGTCCCCTTCAAACAAGACCGACGAGTTGAGACAAAAATACGATCTCAATAATCCTTAAGGCAGTTTCTAGTAATTCAGGTAATTTTAGGGTATCGCTAGGGATGTGTAAGGGAATGGAGTTGAAACAAAACTCTTTGAATTGTAACACGAAAAAGGCTGGTGTTATGGCGATATAATTTAAATTTCTTATGATATTAGTAACTCATAGCAAATGAAGCAATAGCCATTTGAGGCACGCGTGATTTAAGCAGGAGCTTCCCACGCTTCTCGCGCGCCACGCGTTATTCCCGCAACCATTCGTATTTAACATCACATTCAAATTTCAAAATAATAAACACCTTATAGTACCTTAATTTATAATTAACCGAGTGATAATAATTAAGCAATGCAGTGTTTGGCTAGTATTTTTCACATTATTTTTGTATGGTAGAGCATTTGTAAAACTGAGTAAGGGATTTGTAAAACTAAACAAGGCAAGGGACGTTTTCAGGACCGTATCGCTTTAGCAGCAAAACCGGTAACCAATGCAATGTCAGGTTTGATAGCTAAAGAGCAAAATCGTTCAAAGTGCCCGAAGCCGTGTTTCAAAGCAAAGAACTGGAGAACTCCAGTCGTTCGAGAAACCGCTAGACTGACGTCTTTGCGGGCGCGTATTTGTGATAATTGCCGGGCTAAAATATTAGGGAGGGGTGGGATGGTGGGAGTTTGGGGATTGAAGAGAGTTCGGAGGTTCGCAAAACCGACTCCGTAAATAAAATTAGGCATGACTGTTAACGATCATGATCATGTTTTATAAGTTTTTCATATTTAATAAGGGGAGGACCATAATTTTGCGAAGACAGAAGTGAGAAGAATTGAATTGTCGTTCGCCAAGCCAACCAAGTTAGTCTTTTCTCTTTTATATACTGATGTATCCCTGTAACCAAGTGAATTAATGTGGGTATCTAAACATAAACACCTTGGCCGGGTTGCTCAGACGTCGGTTAACGCTAACTCAGGATTCAAAGTTAACCGAACTATCAATTTCTGTTGTATTAAAATGATTTTCACTGCTTATGTTTTGTGTAGTTTGAGATTACTGAAGCTCAAAACTGAAGGACAAACAATATAAACAGAAAACTTCACCAAAATACTTCAAAACTGAAGTCAAAATTCTCGCCAATCCTCGGCCCTGTGGTTTCCATATTACGCCCGATCGTGAGGTGAAATACCTACATTGTAGGCCGGACATCGAATATTTTCTTCGCATGTATGACCTACAGTTGAATTTATGCTCAGGAAATGGTGTACAGATTCGTCGAGTTAGAGGAACAATCAAATTATTACTGCGAGCTTATAGAAAACAGCTCTCTTAACGTGACTATATGGTTAATGGGGTTCTATCCTTGTCTACCGCTAAACATGGGAATAACCATTGTATTTTCCTAGTTCAGGAGGCATTAAGCCGAAATGAATCGTGTTGTTCCTTATATCACTTCTTGTGTACTCGGACAGACCCGTTGAGGGCCAATTTCCTTCGTTTATGACCGTAATGGTTTATGAGTTCTCATGTACGATGTATGATAACAACATATTTTTACTCATTACAATAAACAATGGTTTGGATAGTAGTTATTATCGATCCAGGGACGACTTTTGTGCAAAAATAATAATATAAAAAAATTGAGAGAGAAAAAAAAAGGCGTATCTTGAACTGTGTGCCTCCATTGTCGTTTGCTGTATCTTAATTTTCACTCTCGTTGCTAAGTCGATCACAGGTCCTCGAAGGTCTGCTTGTCCCAGTGAACGACCTTCAAAAATACTGCATGCTTGTTTAGAACTAAGACCCAGTTTGCATTCACCGATTAGATTATGAGCTCGAGATTTGTATCACTCATAGAAATCGAGAAATCTACTTGACTTTCAAACTTTTATCTAAATCCTCTTCACAGACGCTAGAAAACGCTAAGAAGCGGTCGCCATTTTGTCAATGACCGCACACTGTTGAGCTACTCCTTATCCACAACAAAATAAATCGTGAGTAGCGCAGCCAGTAAGAAAACGGTATTCGTAATAGAACGCTTGTAGATTTATGCGTATAACCCATATTATGAAGTATGACACAAGGTCTAATTAAGGCAAGTGCCATTTTGGTAATTTATTCACTTTTACAAAACTTTTACATCACTTATGGTAACGCCATCTTGCCTGGACTACATTTTAACAATTCTCTTAGTTTATATATTAGCGTCTTAAGATCATCATCATCATCATGTTAGAAGTCCTTGTCAATGCTTTGGGTTATTCTAACTTCTTAAAAACGTTCAGTGTGCACACTGTAAATCCCTTCTTATCTGTCCTCCTATTCAGTGGCATCTAACGGAAAATGAACAATATAGAACTTAAATATACACTTACATGTAGTCAGGTAAATAAATATTGCCTTTATATACCCTCGGTAGTGTTTATAGCACAAAGTCTAGTGGAGCCGAGCAAACAATTGAAATAAATGATTGAAATTAAACAACATTGCTAAGAATCCCAACTGGCCGAAGGCAAACCAGTTGGCTATTTAGAAGCGTTGCCGACCATTTGAACTCGGGGCTCCCGAGAAACAAATCCAGGTAGTGGTCAGAGTGGGACTCGAACCCGAACCGCTGGATTGCGAGTCCGACACGCTGACCACTCGGCCACGCTGCCTCCCTATGAAGTCAACCCTAAAGCCCTGATCAAACGGACTCGCAAGTAGTCGCAAGCAGCCACAAGCTGAACTTGCGTAGAGACTTGCGTTGGGTGGCCAAACGGATTCGCAAGTTTCCTCGCAAGTACACGCAGGTCGCAAAAAAACCCACTACAAGGCAGACATATCCTGTATTTCATTGCCTAATAATAGGTTAATGGACGTCACTCAACTTGCGTTGACGTGGGTTGGGTGGCCAAACGGTGAAAAACTTGCGTCGACTTGCGTGCAAATTTCATCTCGACCAAAGTGAGCGCAAGTCATCGCAAGTCAACGCAAGAGCACGCAAGGCCAAACAGAGTCGCAAGCAGACGCAAGTTGAGAATTTGCGTCTACTTGCGACTCCGCTTGGCCAGGGCTTAAAGTCCTGGCCAAACAGACTCGCAAGTAGACCCCAAGTAGACCCCTACCTGCGACTCCGTTTAGTCAGGCCTTGCGTGCACTTCCGTTGGCTTGTGATGACTTGCGCTCACTTTGGTCGAGATCACATTTGCACGCAAGTCGACGCAAGTTTTTCACCGTTTGGCCACCCAACCCAAGTCAACGCAAGTTGAATGACGTCCATTCGTTGTTATAGCAACCTATTAGCCGATAAAAGACAGCCTTGAAAGCCTTGAAATGTTTTTTTTCTTTCTTTTTTTTTGTGACTTGAGTGTACTTGTGAGGGAACTTGCAAATCCGTTTGTCCACCCAACGCAAGTCTCAAGGCAAGTTAAACTTGCGGCTACTTGCGTCTACTTGCGTGTGACCTTGACTCAATTCTTGGGACAAGAAAGAAGGGATTTTTCAGGTTTATTATTGTGGGGCGAGTGCCGACCGGGTCTGAATCTGCTACGCTGTGTAAGACCCCATCGCGTTACAAAATCTGCACCATATTGTGCTTAATCAAATGCAAACAAAATTGTTGACTTGTTCCCCTCGCGTTCATTACTTACCTAAATCTGGGTGAACAGGTTGTTGGACAGCGAACAACTCAATCCTGTACCATCAGGCTCCACATTAAGCTGCTTGATCACTCCGTCTTCAATCAGCATTGAGTATCTCTTTGAGCGAACATTTCCCAAGAATGGAGTTGCATCTAGCTCCAAATCAATAGCCTGGTAATAGGTAAGGAAACGTCAGTCACCAGGCCTCAGCGAGCGCTAGCTCGGGTCGTTGTAAATGTTTTGAACAAGTTTGTGGCAATTTTCTCAATGCTGACCATTCTTGT